CTAGTTCTGAGCAAGAAACTAACACAGTCTCATTCGGAAGTCGTCAAAAACTGTGGCTTGGTCAGTGACTTTTGGCGTCAGGCACCAACGAGAAAAACCGTCCTTTCATGTCGGCATGATATGCGGCCAGTCACCTTTTATTGTTTAGTGGTGCCTGGTGGCATCAGGAGGAAACGCAGCGGGACAACAACCAAAGTAAAGGCAGCTGAAGTCCGAGTAGAGTGGGCGGGAGTGGTGGCGGATGGGTCCAACAACCGCTGACATCACTGGGGAGGCCAGTGTTCGCTTCCCGTATGATTGTTAAACCAAACCCTGTTCTTTTTTTTTCTAAACCCAACCGCGTGCCTTTGTTGCCTAATCCCGACCATGAGCATGTGTGGGCAAAACATAACCATGTGCATTTGTTGTTGAAGGAAGTGTTGTACCGACGTAGTGCATTTATTTCAAAAGAGTCAGTATGCAAACTGTACATGCGAGACAGAAGTGTATTTTGAAAACAGACAATGCATGTAACAGGCTGAAGTTGACTCGGCGTCCCAGAACATCAACAACCAACACACCCAGGGTACCTCGCACGTCATATGTGGACGTGGAAAGTCTGTGACCAAACGCCGATATGTGTGATGAGGTCGGAGTGAGAATGTGTTGGAGAAACAGAATGCAATGTAACCACTCTGGGCATGTTTGGTCCTTCAGTTTACTTCCACTAAATGTGTTTATTTTTGCACTGACAGGGTCAGATTGTTATTCCAAGTGTCTGACAACATTAAGATTATTTTTGTTCAACCAGAAACAGTTTTACAATCAGTTTTGCCACACACACCAGGCTCCATTTAAATAAATAGTACGATTTAACTTGTTGGAAGTTGTGAATTTAAAGCTCACAGCAACTTAATATGATACAATCTCTGTCTTTTGTTTTGTTCGACTGGCATAACTCAGAGTCAGCTCCAGTCCTCATACACAGATGGTGCGAACACGGCCCTGAGTGGTTACATCGCAGCCCGTTTCGCCGTGGTCTCGCTTCATACTGGACCAGTTTAAAAACTGTTGTCTCCATTAGTCACTTACACACAAAAACATGGGAAACTAGGGGCCAAATCAAACTTACACTTTAACTTACTCATTCTAGATTTTTCTTTAACTTTGAACGACGTCACGGTCTGCATCAGCAGATGGAGTTGGCGCAGTCGTCGTCACGTGATCTAAGTATGGAACTTTGGTTTTTGTAATAACAGGCAGTAGTAGCTCGTCAGGGCTCCATAAAAAGCTAGTTAGTGGACTTAGAGTTGAGACAATCTTCTCAAAGTCTGTTATATTTACTTTACATTTCTTTAGCTAATGCTTTTATCCAAAGCGACAACACACACTGCAAGAATCATGCATCAATCATTCAAACTACCACCAAGAATAACAGTTGTTTGTCGCTGACAGTTAGATGAGTCTCACATATGACAGTGGTAACAATCATCTCATTTAACCCTCAGAATCAAATAAGCACATTTCCCTTAAATGTCAAACTACCCCTTTAAAACCCCGTCCTTCGTCTTATCTGCTCTGGTCTTTAAAACACTTTATTTGGTTGTTTTATGGTCATGGGAACATTGTAAAGCCACTGAAGGCTTATTTTAGGCAACATGTGATTTCTGGTGACCTAAGACTTGACGCTTATTCTAAGTCGCTTTGGATAAGACCACCAACTGAAAGCCTGAAACGTAAATGTCATATAAAATGTGTGTGTGTGTTTATTTGTCTGGCTAATTCAGCCCAGCCCTTGGTTTGTGCAACAGGGCCTGCCTTGTTTATTGTTGTATGTTGCTAACAACAGCACCAGATGGTAATGATGATAGTCAACCGCTCTCCTCCGCAGTCGTCTTAACAGGTGTAACCTCATTCCCTTTCTAATTTGTCAGCCCCCGCTTGTTTTCTCTCATTTTCACCCAGTTTTCTTAAAACTCGTCTGTTGTTTTTTTCTCATCTTTTTTTGCCCTCTTATTGCTCTCCCTCCATTGCCCCGCGGTGATGTTAAGTGAGCTAGTATTTTTGGACTTCCAGCATGACGCCAGAAACCATCAAACTTCTTAGCTTTCCCCTTTGGCGGTCCGTGAAACCCCACTGTCAGTGGAGCCCAAAGGCAACAGCAAAGTGGACGGAGTGTTCAGTAGCAAAGTAGTAAAGAAAAAAATAGGAAAAACAAGGAAAAAAGGATGATAAAATAATAAAAGGTTTCTCCGTGATTTATTGCCGATTTATTGAGTCTTTGGCGCTGCCATTGTTTTTAAAAATCTGAGTTTTAACTGTTTTAGGCACGGAGCTTTGGAAATAGAGTTTTTCTATGCAGTGGTGCATTTCCAGATCCTGGGGTCCGGGGTTCCCAAGGGCCGGGACTGAAGCCTAATCCAAGGGGGGGTCCTTGGGGTCTGGGTGGCCTCAAAAACCCAGTTTTGTGGAGCATCTGGACAGTGGTTGCCTCGCACACGCTGGAAACACTTAAAGCTGTGGATGGAAAGACTCGCACACTACATATGTCAGCCCACAGTGACTTCACAACACACAAAGAGACACTTTATTCTGCATGTTGTTTGTCTTTGATGTCCCTGCTGTCGACCCTCCTGCTGCTGTCACCAACCAATCTATACACGGAGCGCCGTGGCAGTAAACGCTGAGCTAATATATTTTTGGGGGAACGTAAACAACACATGAAAACAGTGTAATTGGCCTGTAATTACAGAGCTGTGATTATGGAGAATGGTGCATATTTTTACTCAGGACCAATCTGCCTCCGAGCACTGGGAACAATCATGGAGATAGAGTGCAGCGAGGACGCCGTTGGTGTCCTCAAGTGTCTCCCTGACAATCACGATTTAAGCCAAAACACACCTGCTAAATATATATATAAGTATGTAAGTTTGAAAAATGGCTAAAAACTAGAGAATAAGAAAACAAAGATGATGAAGAGGAGATGGATGACAGTGAGGGCTTTCAAAAACAGCTTTTGAAAAAGTGGAAGAAGTGCTTTTATTCTTGACATAGCACAGAGTCACCTCTTATTAAAACATAGTCGGGAAACATCACATTTGTTTTGGCTGCGCTGCATGAAAATGGTCAGTCTCCGAGTACCTGGATCAGGGGGGTGTTACAGCAGATCGCTGCAGCAAGTGGAGGACAGAGGATGAGGGACCTGAGGAATATCAATAAAGGGAAAAGGGACTCGCTGATGAAGCAAGATAAAGGCCGAGGCAAAGATAGGACAGCAGGGAGTTGCGGCCAGACGAGAATGTGAGGATTTTGTTGGAACGCTTTGACGCACTGAAACCTCAAATCTCATTCTGTGGTTTGTACTTCTGGGTTATCATGTCCTCATCTCCCTCGCACACGTGCACACACATTCCTCTCGTCTTCTGTCTAAGAATCATCAACAGGAGAAAAATGCGAAGACTGAAGTCCATCTCTCTCAGTGGAATACACCTATTACAGAGCGAACAGGAAAACTACAGGAAATTTCATAATCAGGTCCATATTAGCCCGAGGCCTCGCAAACCCGGCACTGTCAGCGTGGGTCACGCTACACAGGAACATTTTTGGAAAACAAGGGAGGGCGTTGGGAATAATTAGGCACTTATGGCAGCTTGCACAAGCCTGAACGCTGGATCCAGATCTTTGGAAAGTCCATGAAGGGCTTTGGCGAGGTTAGAGGTGACAAAGCAGAACGGTAAAATCTTGTTTGTGTGTGCTTTCTCCGAATTTGGAGTTTTGGCTCTTCGTCTCTGCGGCTGTCTACGACCACGATAAACCCCAAAACACAGTGTCCTCGTGCAACCTTTTCCAGTCTAACAATCATGGGAATGAAATTCCAGTGAAAATGAAGGGTGCAGATTTTCATTAGCAGGAGGGAACGATCAGGAACGCCCGTCGACTATTGTGTTGCGGTGACGGTGGCACAAGGAAAGGCTTGTTAAAGCAGCAGCTCAGGTTTACGCATTTGCTTTACTGGGAAATGTGGCGTGGATGGTGCAAGGCACTGGTTATCCCTGCTGGGAGAAAAACCTAGTTAAGACGAACTCTTTTGTCCCTTTGGGCTAAATGGAAATTTAAGATAACTGCTTTCTTTTGAGCGTTCTCAAGTTGACCAGTCATCTATACCTGAACTTCTTAAAAGCTCACAGGGCCTGAGCTGTTTGTTTAGTTTACTTAAAGAGAGCGCCTGGAGGCTGCACGGCTAGGAAATCCAGATGCTCTGCTCTCTTTTAATGCCTCATGAAACGCCAAGCCTGTGTCATCATATTCACTGCTGGGCAAAACCTACCTAGAGCTGGACCCAAGACAGAAGACAGGTTCAGCGCAAACACACACGCGAAATAACCCACACACACGCGCCGACGTGCACATGGCCTTTCTCTCGGAGTGAGCAGCATGCTGAAGTAAACACACTGGTTGCCCTGAAGAGAAGTTTGGTTTCATTGTTTAATGACTCTGCTATTCCCCGCTAATGTTTTACATATGAGATAGAGATTGCTCCCATTTGAAGAGAAAAAAAAAAGCGAGCAGACATCCATCTTTCTCTCACTGACTCACTTGCTGCCTTTTCATTCCCACTCAAATCTTTTACGCTCAGTCATTTTCAATCTGATTTCCTCAGACAACTCAATTACGTTGGCCGGGGCCCATTTGTTTTCGAACAAAATATTAGGGAATGGAGTTTATGAGTCATAAGAAACATCTTTCAACTCGATCCTATTAGTCACCTTGTTTCTTGACGGCTTCTTGCAAAACGTCCTTTTTGTCCAGCATCTGAGTAAAGAGAGAAAACAGAGCAACACATGTTTGCACAGGACAGGGTGTACGCTTACAGTGCAGACCTCACACAGAACCACGCACACACACACACACACACACACACACATCCCGAGTCTGTATGTTCAGCTAGATTTCAATAAATCCTCATTGACCCCGGAGAACTCTGCAAAACTAACCTTTTTTTCCCCTTCTTGTACTTTCAGAAACCACAGACCATGGATCAAGTAAATGTGACAAGTGAGTGGACTCTCGTACCTTGCTGACCTTCTACTTTCATTCATTACAAGCTCAACTTGACCTCTAACTCCCTGCTCTCTGTTTTGTCCTTTCCTGTGCGTGTTTGCGTGTTCCTCTGATCATCAGCAGCAGCGGTGGCGTCGTAGCTGCGCAGAAAGAGCGGGTGAAGGGCAAAGACGAGACGTACTGGAGGGAGATCAACGCCGCCATGGCATTGACCAACTTGGCGCAGGGGAAGGACAGCGCCTCCGGGACCACCAGCTGCATCATCCAGAAGTCCTCTCATATAGCAGAGATCAAGACTGTTAAAGTGCCGCTGATGCAGAAATATTAGCCCTGACGTCATCCTCCCATCTCTCTATGCAAACCAGCAAACATTCCTGTTTCAGCAAACTCGCCGGAGTCCAAATAAACTCCCTCAGCAGTGAGAAGAGAAACTGTCGTTTAGGGAGGGGATTGGTGTTTGAGGCGAGGAAGTGTGGAACAAAAACTTTTTTTATTGGTGTCTAAAAAAAGTGCAAAAGAGGCCTTGACCATCATTTTCTTTGCTGACAGACAAATGTTGATGAGTTTCACTGCAGTATTTCCTAAAGCAAGACACTTTTGTAATGTTAACTTATTTTTGATGAGTCTGATTTTTTTATTTCTTCTTCTTTTTTTTATGCTACAAAATTTGTATTTTGCCTCAAGTGCCTTTTTGTTATTTAGAAAAATAACTCGCCGACTGTGGTCAGTGCAAAGTACACAAACAGAGGTGCCTCTTCTTACTAAGTTTAGTGTCGCAGACGTGATTCAGGATTCGCTTTGTGAATGAAAACTCCTATAACATAACAGCCTGTGCCTTAAGGATTGAATGAGCACACCATCCGAGGCACTGATGAACTCAAATAGCATACACGCTCTTTTAGAATATATCCAGCAGTAACTCCTTGAAGGCATCGCGCTTGTTTCGACTGGAGTCTTCATTTTGACGGTAAACCGAGCGCTGTTGTGTCTCAGTCAGCCCCTCGCTGCTGGCAGGCCGTCGGATACGTAGATAAGTTGCCCTAACGTGAGCAGCAGATCGATAAGCAGCCAACGCACTGTGCCGTGTCCACACGTCAGCCTTGGATTTCAGCACCCAGCGAAGGATTCCTTTCTTATCGTGGCTTATAGCTGCTGAAACGTGCCCAAACGTCAGCTGGACCCAGATGAAGTCACATTCACCCTCGCAGTGACACAGATGTACGGGCACGCTTTAATACAGTATCTGTTCTGACAGAAGAATGCCATGACCTAAAAGGGATGTTTTTGCTTTGCATTATCATTGTTTTTATGTGGACAGTGTTGCCTTTTCACATGTTTGTGCTCAGAACAAGATAGTCCGGAGTGAATGAAAGAAAAAAAAAAAATCCACCACCAGCTCCCCCAGCCTTTTGATCCTCAGCCCTCTCAGCTGTTTAGCATTACATTCAAATTGCTGTTTACAAGAAGCCAGAGGATAGACTTAAAAGTCTGACTTTCTCCCCCCTTGCTTTTTTTTTCTTTGTTTGTTTGTCTGCAAAAATACATTTCAGTATTATCTATTTGTCGGCCAAGCAAGTGCTCAAAGTATTTGTTATTGTCAGTCTGTATATGTGTGGTCGTTTTGTTTTTGATCAGAACTTGGTTTCACTTAGCCGCACCGCATTAAGAGCTTCTTTCGTCATCCAATGGAAAGAGTCTCTTTTCTAGAAAGTACTAATGTACGGTGCATATGTTAGAAACGTTTGCGGCGAACGATGCCAAGTTCACAAACTGGGGGAAATCGAGTTGGACTTATGGAAGAAACTGAAGTTGGCTCTCTGTGCTGACTTTGTAATTTTATGTATATCTTAAAGGTACTGTTTATGTGTGTCAAAATGTACACTCCTTCATAAATTGTGCCGTTTTTTTGTTTTTTTTTTGGACAGCCCATACTGTGCTTATGGTCAAGGACTTTGAGGGAGTGAAGCTGCACAAAGTGACTTTTTGACCTTTTTTATGTCTTGAATGTGCAAACTGTTAACAAAAAAAAAAGCTGCACTTACAGTTTTCAATCAAAAAACACACAGACTCCGTTGAGAACTTCTGGTGTTTTTACATTAAGGTGAAGAGACGCAAAAGAAATGAAGGACAACCCTATATTATTCCTGTTAGCGTGCCTATGGAGGTATAATGAAATCAATCGCACTAGCCAATCCCCAGGCACTATTTGCTTATGCAGTGGGGGTGGTGGGCTCCCACATGTGTTTTTTATACACCTGATCCAGGCTGGGTAGCTGCGGGGTAGTGCCTGGCCCGCTCCTTGTGTTTCCAATCGCACCTCTGAACCTCTGGATCACTCGCGACCCTCACACCTCACACGATACCCGCCTCGCTGGGAAGAGAAGGAGCGAGGGAAGGAGGCTTCAGAGACAACAGAGCAGCCTTTGTTGTTCCTACCGGCGGTCACTCCTCAACAACGACACCAGTTCTAACAAAGGGGTTTCCACAGCCGAGACTTTGGTACTGTACAAGCCTCTCTCCAGCACAAGCCCTGCTCTCACAACCATGCTGACAAATGGGAAGCTATGGTATGTATTAAAGCCTATAAATTATTATTGCGGACTTTGTAAAAACAAAGTGGTGACCATAGTTTGTTTTTTTTATTGTTAAGTTATATAAATTGAGATTTTTTTTTGTTTGTTTTGAAAGAGACTGGATTTTCAATCCAATGACCAAATGCATATCTCCTTGTATTGTCCGAGTTGCTCTCATGTAAAATTTCTTTTATAAAAACAGTTGTTACTTGGTCAAAGCAAATAATGAATGAATAAACCTCTGAATGAAATGAAAAGCATCTTGTGTTTTAATGTTCTTTTTTTTTTTTTGATTATTTACTTTAGCATCAACACATTTTTTTGGCCACATGGGGGCAGCAAAAGCAAATGTATACACAAAAATATATGACATATATTGACTTAGTATCACCATATATCAGGCTAACATGTTTTATTTTATACATTTTATACATCGCCTCACAACCCGTTCTTGTTCCCAAGTCGTCAACTTTGGCATCTCATTGTGATGTACAGTGCGCCCATTAGCGTCTATATGTTAGCACAGCTGTTCACGTTGTAATACGTGGTTATTGTTGTGAAATTGTTGTGGTTTAGAAAAAAGATCATGTTTTGGTTTTAAGTCAGTACGTTTGTTACCTAACAATAAGGTCATGTGACATAATACCTCACACGAGTGACATCATTGCGCAACAACTGTACAAAAATTACATAACTTTATATCAAAACGTTGACTTTTGGTTTAACGCTGGACATAGGTACATAAGTTATGTAATGTTACATCAAAACAACATTGACTTTTGGTTTCACACGGCACACTAACAGTCTCCTGATGAAAGTCCGGTTTTGTTTGACCACCCACCTCCCCAACCTCCCACCTTACAAAGACTTTATTGCTCTTTATACAATGTCATTTGCTCTCAGTGTCAAGTATTGCCACAGATGAATTTACATTGGAGTGAGTGTGAAGCCCAGTGCGTTTCATAAAGATGCTATAGCGTGCCTTCAACATCATAATCACATGCAAAGGGGCGTGGCAGTAGCATTAGCATTACATTAGCATTTAGGAAGAGTCACATCGTTGGGTGTTGTCAAGTTACCCCTTAACGCAAGTTTTGTACTTTAAGTAAAGTTACTTAGGTTTGCATTTGTCTGGAGTGGTGTTTGTGCTCACCTGAGATATGTGAGTGCATCATTCACTCGCCTTTTAGCTCTGTTTTGGTCTCCACCAGCAACTTAATAAACATATCTGGCTCTTTAGCTGCAAAATGCTCCACTATGTTCCCTAGTTGCTGTCTGTCTGCTGCTTGGTGGCAGCCAGCTGGTTTACAACTTGAGTTTTTGTGAGACTGAATCCAAAACTGTAAATTTTCATAATGTACATCAAAGCAAATAACTAAAAGACGCTAAAAGACTCTGTGCTGAGAGGAACTGCAGAGTTGGGAGATAATTCCTTGTGGGTTTGTCACTATGAGCAACACCTTTTATATTAGTTTTAGTTATTTGATTTATTTTTAATATAAAAATCAACAATTAGCACAGCTTTAAAGGTGCAGTGTGAAGGATTTACGGGGACATATTGGAAGAAATGGAATATAATATTTATAACTATATTTCCTTGCCTGAAAGTAAGAACCTTTGTGTTTACGTTCCTTCCGAGTGAATATGTAAAGTCAACGTAAAGACGCGATTAGACATAAAGGCCCTGTTTAGACGACAACGGTTTCTCTAAAAACGTAAAAGTCTGTCCTTTGCGTTTTAAAAAACTTCTGCGTTTATATGACGACGTTATTGAAACGATCTCCGTTCACACAGAGCCGCAAAGTCTACTGGAAACACTGTAGTATGCACGTCAGGCCAATGGGTGGCAGTGTAAATTTGCAAAGCAACACCAAAGCATGACGCCATGCGCCTGCGCTGAAGAGCCTTCCTCTACAATGCAGTGATTACAAACCAAAATAAAGAAGACACAATGACGAAAGCATGCACAGATAACTTTGTCTGGATGGACGACGAGGTGGAGTTGCTACAGTAACAGATCTACACTTCACTTCAAATCAACAGGGTGAGCAGCACAAACAGAGCTCAGCATTGTTGTTGTGACGGTCGGTTTGTCTAGTGACTGGAACCGTAAAAGTTTACATGACAACAGAGACGCTGCTGTTTCCAAAAAGTTGCACTCTGGAACCCGTTTTCAAAATGCTGCGTTTTCAGGCACCCAAAACGCTGCTGTCGTGTAAACGATCTGCCAAAACGCAACTCAAGTTTACCGTTTTCAGTTGAAATCGTTGTCGTATAAACGGGGCCAAAGACGCACTGGGTGGCTCGATGGACGTGATGTGAATAATGCTAAATATGCAAATTAAGTGGCACAAATGAGGCAAGTAGTGCAATTTCGCATCATACGTTTATTCACAAGAGTTAAAAAAAAAACAGAACTTCAGGGACCAATTCACACCGCAATAGCTAATCACAGTTGAGGTCATCGCCAAGGACATACTGGCAGACGTTCATTCATCACTTCAGCAATTCTAGTGTTAAAACTGGTGCGAGTAACGCAATGTGAAAATTTGCATTGCGTTTACTGTGAACACAAAATTAGAATAAGCTGTTTATATCTACATACAAAGCAGGTCCTCGTCCACAGAGTCCGCCATGTTGTTTCTACAGTAGCCCAGAACGGACAAATCAAACAATGGCTCCAGATAGGGTCTTAGTTCTCTCACACACAGGAGTTTCAGTTCTGTAACCTTACTGCTAGACGCCACTGAATCGACACATGATACCTTTAAAGACAAATATTATACATTTGACTTGATCATTCATTTTGTCAGTAGCCTCACATTCTGTGCTGAGGTGTCAGAGTGTTTATCGTTTGAAAGGAGAGGGAAAGAATAAATTCTGGTCTGCTGAGGCAATTTCAGTTTTCCTTTGTTATTGTCACCAGGCTAAAGTCTTAATTCTAACCATGGGCCACCGCTCGACACTGATCGCAATATGGGAGATGTTTGTTTATGACACACAAGGCGGGGTGGTTTTTAAGAGCTAAACAAACTAATCATGACAAACCATTGGAAGAGCTGAATGTATACAGCAGTGATCTGAGTCAACCACACACCGCACATTAGTGGTTTGGGCCCCAGCGTTTGCTATCTCCTGTGTATTTTTGCTACCTTTAGAAGGATGTTGGGCGTTTCACTGTATTTGTTTGACCCAGGATCAGATCGAAATCTGTCTCTCAGGAGTTCACGAGGGCAGCAGCAGCAAGAGATAAATGGCCTTAAATAAAGATTTCATAAAGTTTGGGTTTGGCTATATCCGCTGTCGTGATGTAGATACCTAGAGAGGTCTGTACATATAATTTGAACTCTTGTGGTATTGTGGATCCAGTATGATAGCGTCAATAGACAACCAGGCCTTTGTGTAGCGTCTGAGTCTGGAGGCATCTCAGGGAGGCCAGGGGAAGACTGAATTTATGTCTCATACTTCCTAGGTGTGTCCCTTTCCTCAGGGCTCAGTTCTCTTTCCTGTATATTAATGGCTTCACCATGCCACCGCTGAGCTCTGCCACAGAGCTGAGACCCATCTCACGTTGGGAACGAGAAAGATACTGAAGGAGAAAACAAGATTGCAAGAAGCCATTTGAGAGACGGGAATAAAGATGTTGACAGCAGCTGTTCAAAGGCTGGTAGCAGCGAACGCCACAAACTGTAAATGCTGCCCAGTGCTGGACGGCCCTGCGTCCTGTGGTTTCATTGTCAGTCAGAACCAATCAGGACGCAGCCTGTAGAGCAGCCAAACACCCAACAAGATGCCCCACTGGTTTTCCTGTGGATCAGCTGCCTCCGGACCTCAGCGTGGCCCAGTGAGACGGCTCACCCCGACACTTCCTGAAATAATCCTATCAGGTTTGTTGACCCCTCGTCCCTCGCTGCACTGAGCCGGCCAAACCCCACCTTCTCTGAGCCACACTTTCCATTGAAAAACTAAGTGATATTCCATGCTGCCTATAGCTTCTCCCTTCATATTTTTCACCCATGCCTCCTATCTGTGCTGCTGACAGATTTGAAAGGAGTCGTGGAACTACACGGTTATCTCGGCGCACGAGACGGACAAGTGGAGATTCTCGCTTGGCGCGCCCCACAACTTGACAGACTCCAGACTTCACCTTGGCCATTTAGTCCGCCAGAAACTCAGCTTCACCGACAGCGGGCAAAACCACACGGAATGAAATCCAAGAACGCAGACGTCCTGAAAATCATTTCCCATTTGATGAGGAAATATGACTCCCGTGGCATGCTGAAGTAATTAGTTACCTTGCTGTGAAGGATGCTCCAAGGAGCCCCTGTTCATTAGAGCCAGGACTTTGTCTTTTGCTTACTCCTGCCCTTGGACACAAATATGAGAAAAATTGCTGGGCCTATAATTGTTAGATTCCTGAAAGAATGGGCTGATTAAAACTTGGT